AGCCGGCCTCCGCGCGGGGACTGTTTCTGCGTCCCCTCGTGGGCCGGGAGGACGTGGCGCAGCCCGGTGTGTGGACCGCAGGAGCGTCCGGCCTGCCTCTGTGGGTGTCACCGGGTGCCGGTCGGCACGCGTGGGCGTGTCCTATCGCTCCACGCGTGTTCCCTCCCTCACCGTCGCCTTTCCTCCGGGACCACGGTTTCAGAAATGGAGCCATGGAGGTTTGTGCTACCGAGAATCTGAATCTGTCACGCAGACATCCTCATTACATAATCCTGCCACTCCGGGCCTCACGGCTATTTTCTACCCCTTTCCCCTCCTTTCCCCCCCTCCCCCCCCCCTTTTTTTTTTTTTTTTCTTCTTTTGGTGTCAAGAACTGGAGAGAATCCTGCAAGATATTGAAGCATTTAGAATTTATGGTTCTGTTGCCGTGGTTGTCACCTCCGCTCTATGTCAAATTTAAGATTCATTTCTTAAGGATGTCTCTATTTTCTGCTTTATTTGCACATTGATAGTTCTGCTGCTTCACTGGCCACGGCAGTCCGGCGTCTGAGATAGAACTGTGCTAATAAAAGGAAAGGGCTGATCATTAGCAGACAGGCGAGATTCTGATAGCATCTGGCGGATTTTCTCCGTTTTTATATGGAAGCTTTTACATTTTCACCACTAAACATGAGGTTTTAAGTTTTTATCTCGATAGTGGTGAAGATCCGTTCCCCCTTCTCTTTTTTATCAATATTTGCATTTGGGAACCTGCTTACTTGCTAAAGATAGTTTCATTGGCAACTTTTTTTCCACCCTTTCATCCTAGGTTTCCAAGAATTTTTTTTTTTTCTTGTTTACTCCTGCATTTCTATCTTCTGAACATGTTACTTACACTAGGGATAGGTTTGCTCTGATTGTTATTAACTTGAGGCTATTAAACTCATTTTAAAGCTTCCTCCGGGTTTATTGGTTTGTCACGTCTGCACGGATCCAGTTATCCATAACTCTTAAAATGTAGAGCTTTAAAATAAGAGCCGCAATTGTGTTGCCAAGACATGGGAGCTTGCTCTTCAAGTTTTGGCCCCAGAGTTGTCATTGTTTCAATCAAGTGCCAACGAGGTTACTCCTGTTTATTTAGCGTAATAGCTGTTTACAGTTTAAACTTTAAAGACTCATAAAAGTAGGTCTGCTGTATTGTAAAGATCTCATCATTCTTGTGCAAGAGACACAACACCAAGAAAGGCAACAGATTGCTTCTGTCATATCGCTTTGCTGTTTTCGAGTGTACTTAAAGGATTATGATTGATAAGGCTGTCTTGCCAGAGAATGTTGACACAGGTGTGCATCGTTATCTTAATTAAGATCCTGAGAAAATGTTGTCTATAAATGGAGACATAAGAAGGGTAGCATATTTTTGTACAGTTTTGCTTTGGGAGAATTTAATTGCACTTGAAGCCTCTCTGTGAGCTTCCAGATTTTGTGAGCAATTTGGCAACAGAAGTTTTGGAGAGAAATGATAGTTTAATGTTAAGTGTCCCAACATGTGCTAATACAACTTGTGGCCTTTTTGGCAATACCTTGAGTCAGTTTTCTTTGTACCTTACCTTTATGGATTAAAGGGATTTAACTTCAAAAGGCAAGCATAAAATAGAGCAGTATATTGTTTGTTAAGCAAACATTTATTAATGTTCAGAGTAGGATGGCATACTTAATGAGAAGAAACAATATATGTAAATATATGAGAAATGTATGTCACTTAATTTTTATGGTAAAGATGGTAAAACTACTGATCTCAAACAATTTATTTTGCTGTCAAGTACCTAGCTATGATATTTATCAAAAGCTTTGTTTTTATTTTTAGAAATAGAGGACAACTTGCATTTCTTCCAAAATATTGTTTTGTAAATTTGAATTGATGAGCAAGTGAAGATAATACTTTAAGGATCTGAATTTTAACCTGGGTCATCACTAAAATAATATTACTGTCTTTTTTTTTTTTGGAATCTCCAAATGCAAAAACAATGGCAAGACAGATGGATGCTGTTGATTATATTATCCTTGGCTTACCCAGCACTAGTACCCTTTAACATAAGTATCACGTTAAGATTTACCCCTCTCTATAACACATGATTTCCTGGAAGCTGGCTATCCATCAGTGTGTGTGTATTTTCCTTTAATATTAAAACACACTGTAGAAAGAGCAAATGAAAGTGGAGCAGACCGTAAGCGGATGATCGGAAAAGCCAGGTGTAGAGTCACAGCTCATATTTGACTCCAAGAATAATTAGCTGGTTAGGATTACATGGTAAACTAAAAATCAAAGGGAGACTTATTTAGATTTGTTTGTTGAGAGTAAAACAAGAACGTTAATTTTGAGATAATTGCATTATCTTCCAGCCAGCCCATCAAAATTTTTTTCTCTGGCAGCCATAATCCTTATCCTTATGTTATTATCTATGTGTTATTTTAAAACTTTATATATTAGGTTAAAAGAGGTGAAATAGGAACATAAATTAATTATCTATGCCATTTTATTAATAATGCCAAATAATGTATTTATACATTCTGGAAATCTCAAAAAATTA